TATCTGTTGATCGACTTAATTAGTTGATTACGAATGAATGGCTGTGTTATGTCTGTCATCGTTTAGGCCCATGTGAGGTTCCGAACGGAACTTGGTTCAGTGATTTGGAACTAATTACGAGATAACCGTCGCTATTTGAACTATTATTTCTGACAAGTTGGTATGCGCAATTACTAATATAGCGGAAGATTAATCAGAAGATATGACGTGTTCAGTACTTAGTGTGATTGGCTTTATGATTGAAGGTTACGCCCTAGAGTCTTTTTACTGCTTTGTAATTGGTTAAGGTTTTGAAAGTGAATAAAGAGAGTTTGAGTTGGTCTTGGCGAGTACACGAGGAGAGACGCAGTCTTAGTCTAAGAGAGTCTTAAAACGCAGTCTTGGACAGAGTCTTGAGTCAGCCTTGTGATAGTCTTGGGGACTTTTCCCCAGGGCGCTTTGTCTTATAGAGTGCTCCACTGACCGACTAAGACGAGAGTTGAAACGTATTTCATTGTGTGTGTCTTATTTGACTGTAAAGCTTAAGTGACTTTCCCGATCCCGTACCTCAACGGAACACGGTAGAGAGACAAGACGAGATTCCCCCTGACATGTGTGGAGAACTCCAGAGGAGAAGATTTCCCCCCCCCCCCGTGATACATGGTGGAGAAACCGGGCAGGTGTTTAACACACATTGACATCCTGTGAAGAAAAGTGAAATGGCGAAGGTGTGTCTTTCTTGTGAATCGAACTAACAGATCGATGGCAGAGACGACTCGGAAACTGCGCTTGATGACTAACGACTTTACCCGAATCACACCGATGTACAATGCTGAAGAGATGAAGATTTTAGAATCCCTTAGGAAGGACGAGTATCGAATAGGACTGAATAATCAAGCATTGAGCGACATTAAAGACAAGATGATGATGAAAGAACGACCCCGGACTAACGCGACGAAAAGTGAAAACGCTATATAGACTTTGAATTAGAACTTTAGCTATTTGTGTAGTGTGTAGAGAATCGCTCGGTGGACACTGTAACTGACACTGTGTAACTCAAAACGTTGAACTCATTTCCAGAATCCCAACACTATTATTCAGTATGTAACGTATTTCTTGCTTGCTTTTCCTATCGTTTTTTTAACGTTTTTTTTGTGATGTTGAATTGTATGTTATGTAAGCGCCCAGATCTTTGTTTTGAAATGATATTTAGTGACGTGCGAGGTCCTTTATAATGATTTAAGCGCGCCTCAGTGGACAAGTATTTGCAACACAGTGTTATGAGTTTTGGGAAGTTTTATGGTGTTTTAATGAGTTTATGAGTACGGATATATGGGGAAAGTAATGCCCCAAAGAGTTTTTCAGAGTTTTGAGATTTGTCGATGTAAAGAGATATCGACGTTTTAAGAGTTGTTTTTGTTTACGTGTTGTTTTCGGAATACTTCTGACGCTTTTTTAGTTGAGAGCACCTTTGTAACGTTTTTTAATGTCTTTTTTGAGATAAGAGTGTGGTGCGCTTATATGTTTATTGTTTGATAACGCAAGCTTTTGTTCATGATTGACAGGTTTATAAGTAACTTAGTAGTGTCTATCGTTTTAGCATTTTCTCGTCTTTTTTCCAGAGGATTAGATTAACGACTTGTGAGTTCAGTTGAAGTTTATAAGCGTATATGACAGGAGTTTGATTAATAGCTGGTTTATTCATTGATTATAAGTCACCGCTTGCAATGCTTTAACCGAGAGACGCATCTCTGGTAATCACGTGATCATGCTGTCGACTGCAGTGATTGGCTGATCGCTTGGTTACACCACCAACCCTTAGTTGTTTTGACCTTTTGATATAGAGTTTGTAACCTTAGTAACGGAGACAGTGCCGCGAAGGGTTACCTCAGTGAACTGTTTGAGAAAAGCGGGCCTATTGGTAGCCTTTCCTTTGTTTTTAGATTCATAACCGTTGATATTTGAGACATTATAATCATTGTATTAATCAGTGTGTTTTACTATTTTGATTTATACCTTTTATTAGTATTGTATTTAACCCGTATGACGACGAGTAGAGGACGGTATCTTTGATTTATGAACGTGCAATGCCGGGAGGCATGGCTCAGTTTGAGTGAAGGGATGTATGATGAAATTGTTTGCACGTATCTGTTGATCGACTTAATTAGTTGATTACGAATGAATGGCTGTGTTATGTCTGTCATCGTTTAGGCCCATGCGAGGTTTGGAACTAATTACCGGTGTGTGTGCGTATCATGTACATCAGTGTGTGCGTATCATGTACACTGGTGTGTATGTATCATGTACACCGGTGTGTGTGTGTGTCATGTACACCAGTGTGTGCGTATCATGTACACTGGTGTGTACGTATCATGTACGCCGGTGTGTGTGTGTCATGTACACCAGTGTGTGCGTATCATGTACACTGGTGTGTACGTATCATGTACACTGGTGTGTGAGCATCGGGTGGTACACAACTCGGAAAGTGATTAACACATTTTCCAGAAGAATTTAATTAACCTTTTCGTTAATACTGTAAAATGACTAATTTTCACTGGGTTTAAATTTCACTGATTTACCATTTCAGGCATATTCAGTGGGTTTTAAATTCACGGTTTCGTCATTTAGATAATGTGTTCTATGCTGAATTTTACATATTCACTGGGTTTTAATTTAGCGCATTTTCCAGTCAGCGAAATAAGCTAAATTAAAACCCAGTGAATATTTACCCCTTTTACAGTAATAGGTTTATGTCTTGAATACATATAAAATATATACTAGTAAAATATTCTTAATAATGACTATGAATTAAAGTTATATAAAGAATGGTAAATAATGGTTAAACTATATGAATATTAACAAATATGTCAAATATTTATCAAATAATATGAACATATTACATATATATTTTTTTTATATATACAGTATGAACATTACCATATTACTATGGTGATGATCAGTGAAGTAAAATAACGTAATAATGAAATAATCAACAAATACAAAAAATACATACAAATAATATTATAACACTCCTCCTGCCACTACTGCTAATTAAAACAATACAATTAACAATATATTCAAATTAATGAAATAAACTGTAAATGTGCTGTTTCAATGGAGTAATCTGTATAACAGACATATCACATTGCATTTCCAAGATATGACATATACAATCATTCTCACATCGTACTTCAAAGCAAAACCGTGACTTAATTCTGGTAGCACTTGCTCACGTGTCAAGTAATCACTCAATTTGGAACAATGCTTTCTTAGTCGCTAATCGCCGACATTTAATTATATTTGAAATATTTTACTTTGTGTCTGGAAGGTGCTTGGACGGATGGACAGAGAACTACAT